GCAGCAGGGAGGGATGTGTGCTTGTCTGCTATTCTCTCCTGCTTCCTTTTATAACCCTTTATGTCATGTAGGCCTTGCCACAGACAGCGGGTTTCCATGTGTAGAGCTGGATGAACACAGCAGGCCAGGCAGCATCATAGGAGCAGGAAAGGTGACGTTTTTCCATGTGATTACTTTGGGTGGTTGGAATTAAATGTAGACCTTTAATGCAAGAGCAGTATGACAGTGACTGTATTAACACTGAAGGCCATTAGTCTTTGTAATAGCATTTGAGAATTTGAAAATATAAAGGCAAAGCTACAACTAAGACATATCCTAAAAACGCCTGCAGTGTTATACACTGAGGTACTTACCTTTTAGCACAAAAGCTGAGGCTGACCTTCCAGTACAGTACTGAGAGAATGCAATACTGGTGCAGGTGCTGTCAGTTGAATGTGATATTAAACTGATCAGGTGTATCACACTATTTTGGATGAGAACAAGGGAATTATCCATCATGTAATGGCCAATATATTTTTATTGAATCAAAATAACAGATTATTTGATCATTATCACGTGGGACCTTGTGTACATATTGGCTGCCACGTTTCTTAATTGCAGCAGTCCCTTCATTGACTGTTATGCACTTTGGTATATTCTAAGGCCATAATTTTTTTTACATAAATACAAGTCTTTCTTTCTGGAATTGCTCACTGATGGTTGATTGTCTTACAGTTATAGAACCAAGAGGGTAGACTCTGAGGACATTCTGTGCCATTTCAGTCAGGCCGGCAGTTCCTGCACCTATAATTGTCAGATGAACACAATGTCAGTCTTGTAATTTACTTACAGTTTCTTTGAATATCTTGTAAAAATATGCTCGCTTTCTTGGAGTTCAGTTGCATGTGTAAAGTACTGCTCCTTGTAAGTTGGAGTTGTGAGTAGATGCTCCTTTGTTGAAAAGTATTCCTAAATTCAGCATGATTTAACAGGCTGAAATAATTTTTTATGTTTTAGTAGAATATTGTGGACTTGTGATCGGAAATCACTAAAAACTTTTATGTTTAGTTTGTAATTCAAAGCTGTCATAATTCCCTTGCAACAATGTTAGATTTTGATCCTATGAACATAATACTACTATTGTAATGTAAGATAGATATTTATTACATTTGTGAAATTCAAGTTGTTTAATGTAGAGTTCAATGAACTGGGACCAGCAATTCATGTTTATACTGTAATAAAAACAGGAAGTGGTGGAATTCCAAAGAAGAGTCAGACTGGACTAGAAACATTAACTCTTTCTCTCTTCGCTGATGCTGCCTGAGGCCCTCCAGCATTTTTTTGTTTTCATTTCAGATCTACTGTACATTGCTTTTGCTGCAGCGGTTAAACCACTGAGCTAATAATCTCGAGGTCTGAATTAATGATGCAAAGACTTGACTTCAAATCCCAACATGGCAGATGAGAAATTTAATTTCCCTTAATTAAATAAGTATGGAATAAAAAGTGAGTGTCATTAATAGCAAGCACAGAACTATGCAGTCATAAAAACCCATCTGCTTTGTTAATATATTTTAGAGAAGGAAATCTGCCTATGTACAATCATAGAACCCAATAGACCAGAAGGAGGCCATTCAGCCCATCAAGTCTGCACCAATCCTCCAAAGAGCATCCCATCCAGATTCAACCCGTACCCTATCCCCAAAACCCCCTATTTACCATAGCTAATTCACCTAGCCTACACATTTATAGTCAGTATGGACAATTTAGCATGGCCAGTCCACCTAACCTGCACATCTTTGCACCGTGGGAGGAAACCGGAGCACCCAGTGGAAATCCACGAAGACACAGGGAGAACGTGCATGCTCCACTGTGACCCAAGGCTGGAGTTGAACCCGGGTCCCTGACCCTAACTGCTGAGGCACCATGCGTACTTAAATATAAATACAAACTCCAGCAATATTGTTCATTTTGCTCTGAAATGGCAAGGTACTAAATTGTTAAGAAGACTGCTGACCAGTACATTCAGAAATGCAGTGAGAGCTGGTCAAAATGCACTGCAGCAACTGGTCAAGACTACTTTGACAGCACCTCCCAAATATGTGACCTCTACCGCCTACAAGGGCAGTAGGCACATTGGAACATTTCCACCTGCTACTTACCCTCAAGTTACACACAGATCTGACTTGCAAAAAGTAGATCAATCCTTCATCACTAAGTTAAACTTCTAGTTCTCCCTCCCTTGGAATGCTGAGGATGTACATTTACCACAACGATTGCACCAAGTTGAGGTGCTCCCCATCCATTTCTCAAGAACAGTTAGGGATAGTCAGTAGATTTTGGCATTGTCAGTGATACCCGCATCTTATGAATGAATAGAAAAACACAATCAGGCCAGCCTTTGCACACTCTATATAAAGGAAAATGGTGGAAATTGAGCATTGTAGGACCAAATGAGGATGATCTGGCATTTGAGAATGCCAATCTGAGCAGTTGGGTGTGAATCATAAAATCCCTACAGTGTAGAAACATGTCATTCGGCCCAACAAGTCCATACTGACCCTCGGAGCATCCCATACAGACCCATCCCCCTATAATGCACCTAATCTACACATCCCTGAACGCTGTGGACAATTTAATGTTTTAACTTCAAATTGAATAGTCCAGTCAAAGAAATTGAAGCTTGGCAAAATACTTATTTATGATCAATGTAACATTGCCATATTGTTGAGTTTTGTTTATATTCAGCAATTGTTGTAGGCCTGTGTAGATTGATACTCTTGTGCTAGGCACTGTGTTTAAATAGCTGTGTTAACCTTGTTGACTTGCTTTATTTTCATCAGGCGAAACAAAGCCAGAAGATGAGTCAAATAAACAGAAAACTGAGGATAAGCCAGAGGAAGAACATGACTACCACAGGAATGATGAACAGGTAGCTTTTCGACAATCTTTTCCCTGGTGTATGCAATTCATATGTAATCATGGTAATATAAAAATACCATAGTGTTACAGTGATGTGAGCAATTGAGAAAGTTCATTTTACCTGTTGACTCACCACGCATCCATGAAACTTCCTGTTTCCCCTTGTGCTCTCTCTGAGCTTATCTTGTTCACAAGACCCATTTTTTTGTTTTATTTTTACCTTTTTCCCACTAAACTAGTGATTACCCAACTTGCCTTTCTGGTGCTATGCTGACTGATATTTATGAAGCTGCACGCGCCTGGTTCAATTCTCATCTGTCTGGTTGAAGCAGGACAATCTGCTGCAGCTTCTTTCCTACCCATATGTCAGTATCGCTGGAGACAAAGAAAAAAGAACAAAGAAAATTACAGCACAGGAACAGGCCCTTCGGCCCTCCAAGCCTGCGCCGATCCAGATCCTCTAAGCCTGTCACCTATTTTCCAAGGATCTGTATCCCTTTGCTCCCTGCCCATTCATGTATCTGTCTCGATACATCTTAAATGATGCTATCATGCCCGCCTCTACCACCTCCGCTGGCAATGTGTTCCAGGCACCCACCACCCTCTGCGTAAAGAACTCTCCACGCGTATCTCCCTTAAACTTTTCCCCTCTCACCTTGAAATCGAGACCTCCAAGATTCTGATCCCTGTCCCTATCCATTTATCGTTTACATGTAAGACATGCACTGTGCAAGCTATGTGCCTTAGGAATGGATCCACCACAAGCCCAATGCTTGTGTGAACTGGGCTCAGACAAGAGACAACAAGGTGCAGGGCTAGATGAACACAGCAGGCCAAGCAGCATCATAGGAGCAGAGAGGCTGACGTTTCGGGCCTAGACCCTTCATCAGAAAAGGGGGAGGGGAAGGGGGTTCTGAAATAAATAGGGAGAGAGTGGGAGGCGGATAGAAGAGGGATAGAGGAGAGGATAGGTGGAGAGAAAACAAACAGGTCGAAGAGGCGGGGATGGAGCCAGTAAAGGTGAGTGTAGGTAGGGAGTTAGGAAGGGGATAGGTCAGTCCAGGGAGGACGGACAGGTCAAGGGGGCGGGATGAGGTTGGTCGGTAGGAGATGGAGGTGCGGCTTGAGATGGGAGGAGGGGATAGGTGGGAGGAAGAACAGGTTAGGGAGGCAGGGACGAGCTGGACTGGTTTTGGGATGCGGTAGGGGGAGGGGAGATTTTGAAACTTGTGAAATCCACATTGATACCATTGGGCTGCAGGGTTCCCAAGCGGAATATGAGTTGCTGTTCCTGCAACCTTCGGGTGGCATCGTTGTGGCACTGCAGGAGGCTCAGGATGGACATGTCGTCTGAGGAATGGGAGGGGGAGTTGAAATGGT